ATGTTGAATTTCATGAAATTGTTCCATGACCGGGCGAGAATCCACCATTTTGTAACTATTAAAGTTACCAATGAGAAATTTCTTACTTGAAGCATCCTCGGTCATGTACTTAGATTCTAGGGACTCCCACAACATTTTAGCATATTCAACATTTTGATACACATCAAACAAAGAATCACACATACCATTCAAAATATGCCCACAACAAATGTAGTCGTCGTTGTCCCACTTTATGCGGCGGCGGCTTGTTTCCAAAGTCTCGTTTTCATCATCCCGGGCGGCCTCGGGGTGCTTAACACATAAACCACTTTCAAAGTAGTGAGCAGAAAATGCATCTTTTTCTACCATCTTCGAAACTCCACACCTTCAAACTTTTCCAATTTTTGAAAATTGGTGTTGATGATATCGCGCTGAGTAGCAGCCATATTTTCGGTATAGTAAAGTTTTAGATTATTAGAATTGGAGGATAAAACTAGTAAAACATAAGGGTGTAGAAATATGGTTGGACCGGATATCACTTGTAGTCACGTATTAAATAAGTTTTCTTAAAAGTTTACTATTTACCCTTATCACAGTAACCGGGTTACTAGATAGAACTTTTGGGATAAAAAGAAGGTGTATGGTGTATTTTAGTTACCGATAAAATAACACCGAACAAGTGATTTGTATATAAAGTGGTCTCAACACTTTATTACTAATACTGCAGATAAAGTAATAGAGTAAGGCAAAATAGAGAAGGTCGACAAACTGGGTTTTTTCCTTTTCTCTCAATAGCATGGTCCCTAAATTTATACAAAGAATAATCTCCTTTGAAAAGAGGCTACGAACATATTAACAATTGGGCTTGGGGTACACAAAACTCATACACACACCTACACACTATAAATAGGCCCCAAAATTACCATTTTTTACCCCTTCCTCCCTCACGTGAAATTGCAACCCCATCCTCTCTCCTCTCTCCCCCTTCATCGTTTCTTTCTTCTTCCCGCAGCACATCGACGCCAGCACCTCCTCTCCTCAAAATCAATGGATTTTGGTGGCTTTGTGAAGGAAATGATCATTACAACAGACAAATTTTGGGCTGAATTGGAGCAAAAGGCTGATGCTTCTCGAGCCGGAGGAGAAATTCCGGCGACTGAAGATGACGGAGAAGCGGCGGCGGCCGCCTTGGACGACACCCCTGAGCTTCGTATGAGTGTGTGTTGATGTTAGATCGTTTATGTATTTGATTCCATTAGCTTAGCTTTAAACGTAAATAAATGTTTGTTCTTCACAGACAATTCTCTGTATTTGTAGTGTTTGTGTGCAGTGTATACTATTGTCTATGTGTTTGTGATGTGTATATAGTCGTGTCTGTGTTTAAAATGTTTTAAATTTACTCATGTCTTTGTGTAAATAAACTTCTATTTGAAATGTCTGTGTAAATATAGTTTCGTCTCTGTGTATATATACTTCTGTCTGTGCAGAATTGTACCAGTGCCTGTGTATGCACATTTAGCCTGCATGTGTCTACTTCTGAAATGTGCATATTTGGTGTGTGGATTTTGACTCTTAGCAGCTCTTAGCAGCTCTTTATATAAATTATATATATAATACGTTATCAACTTGCATTTATATAAATATTGATAGTCCTGGTCATCAAGGGGCCCTCTTAGCAGCTCTTATTCTGGATGTCCAATATGCAAAAATCATTTTCAGATTACATTCAACTGAAAACCATGGGGACATTGCAAATACCTAAAAATGTTTTAACATCATTTGAGTAGTGAAACAGCTAGCTAGTTTAGCTAATGTGAAACAATATAATTCCCCAACCATGCTGTAAAAATCATAAATGTCTGCTAGTAATTCATCACAAGAGATGAGTTCTTTGAACATAGTAGGTGGCATTCAATGTATGGTTTGATAGATTAATTAGTCGAATCATATCAATCGGTTTATTTAATTCCCTTCAACATCTGTTTCATATTTGTAGACTTTGATTTAATACTTATAGTTGATTATTCGTGGTTATGTTAAATAATAACAAAATAAACCCTAAAATCCTTCTTGATCAATGAGAAGAATAACACTCACTAGTTGATTTTTCATTAATGTTACCAAACTAAATGCTTCAAAAAAGAATCTCGTTTAATTCTCATGTCGTACTTAACTAACTGGGCAATGGATTACATATATTAGCAGTTTTTAAACAACTAGTTATTTAAATAAACAAGTCAAGTTTTTAAAATTAAACTAATAATCTGTAATAAATATAATAAATGTAATCAAAGTCAAGTTTACACATGGGCTCCAGTGGTAATCAAAGTAATAAATGTTTTAGTTATTAAATTACATAAAGTAGTTATTAAAAATATCTTAAGTGGATGTAAGAGCGCATACATAGCATAGACAACAACGACACAAAGCACATACAAAGTCGTATTACAACACAAACAAGATTTTTCTTCTTCACAGGCAAAGACATCCTCCATATATATTAACACCATTAAAAGTATGTGTTTGCCGCAAAAACGAAAAGGCATACCAAATTATTGAATATTTGGGAGTACATTCTAGGACATTGTACAACATTGTTAGTGTAACATTGTACAACCTCCTACATTTAACAACTAAACACATCCAACACTAAACATGGAGTCCCAAAGTAGTCTAAGTGGATCGCTTCCTCAAAGTTCAGTGCCTCATTGCGAATTCACATCTTTTCGCTGCCATGTTCTCATATGCACACTCGGGCTGCAATGGCAAGTTCTGCATCTGTGACTCGGCAAAGGCCATTACCATCACGCCGCAAACACCAAATCCGGACATAAAAGATTGCATAAAGACATTAATCCCCGGTTGGAGAAGTGAACCACAACTGTACAATACATTGGAAAATTCATTACTTCTCCAAAGTCCTACACATTTTTTCAATTGGACATGTTTTAGTAGAGTCACACAGACAAGCATATTACTCACACAGACATATGTAGACTCATACAGACAATCATTTAAGTCTTCATAGACAAATGAAGCCACAACCAATTACATATAAGTTCACACAGACAAGGAACTACACATGTGTATCTTCACACAGACAATACATATGTCCTTCAACAGGCATCAAATTAACCTTACACAGACAATACATAGAAAGTAATGACATATCCCCAAAATGAACTTGAGTTACTACCTAATAGATTGGGAGATGGAGTCCAATTTCTTAATGCAGTTTAACCTAAGTTCTTTTGACCCACTTGAATTCTGTTTATAGCATAGAGTGTCTATTAGTGTTGTGCCAAGCGGTGTTTAAACAATATATCATAGACCATACTGTGTAAGATTTTAATGACTCAGTAAAAGGTCGCTTAACATTTTTAATAAAACTACAAAATAAATAATCCGCATTATTTTAAGGTACCCGAGGTCCAAATTAATCAAGCTATTTTAAGGAATTTGATCCTCGACATTCCACAATTCTAAAATAAATTGGAAAAATCATTACTTTTCCAAAAGACCTAGAAATTTTTCATTTGGACCTGCTTTAGTAGTCACACAGACAATCATATAACACGCACAGACATATGTGAAGTCGTACAGACAATCATATAACTCTTCACAGACAATGGAGGCACATCCTTTTACATATAACTTCACACAGACAAATAACTACACAAAATCTTCACAAAGACAATATATATGTCCTTCAACAGGCATAAAATCAACCTTAGACAGACAATGCATATCCCCACATGACATATCCCCACACAAAGCACAAATAAATTGATATTTGTGTATTGTTCAAAATCCAAGCATTAGATGGGGTTCCAAAACATGCTAAACAAAACAATCTTGCTTCACCCTCCAAATAACCATCATCAACTATATCTACACTAAAAATTTCAAGAATAGAGGACCATACCTTTCGGCCATTGAAGAAAGTGGGGTTCGCACCATTCTTTGTCAATTAAGCAGTGCTGGTTGTACGGGATGACTTTCATTAGGGGAAGAACGCTCGTTTCACCGCCTATTCTTCAACCCCTTCGTTCAGAGACGTACACCGCCGGGTGGGGGGACGAACGCCGCCGGGTGGGGGGACGAACGCCGCCGGGTTGGTGAGGGCTTGGCAGAGGCTCGCCGGTTGCAGGGATGAAGGGAAGGGAGCGGAATTGTCAATGGCGGGAGGAAGGGATGCGCACAAGGGGGGGGGGGGGGGGGGTGGTTTAAATTGGATTTGGGAGTTTTTTAGCTAGGTACGTGTGATTGGGAAGAGGAAGGGGGTAAATTTTTTTAGGGAGTATTTATAGTGTGTATGTGTGTGTATAAAATGTGTGTAACAATAGGCTTTTTTGACATATTAATCAAAGTGAACATGGCGGTTAAGCCATCCTGAAGCAAACGGCGTAACTTTTAAAAAAGACACAAACTTACTTTTAAAAGAAAATTGAACCAATATGTACGTACGTGCTGCGGCACTTAAGTAAAATTAATATTAAATCTTAATACTATTAGTTGAGCATAGAAAAACGTAATTAATTATTATTATTCTCAGTATGAGGGATCACAACTACACCGTCTACACGTGTACAATTATTATTCTCACTTGGTTATAAAATTTTTAAGGACCATGCAAAAATAATACTTGAGCTTTATTTTCCAATAAATCTCCAACAAATATCTTGTATTTGGAAACTAAGGACTCATAAATTAAACTATGAAATCAATTAATTATAAGTTAAACTAAGAAATTAGTATTAGATGAATGTTTAAAATAAACAAAAATTAATTAAAAAACAGTCTAGATATGCCCTTACAAGTTACCACACAAGACATCAAACTATAGAAATTGGAAAAGTAAAAATCATTGAAAAGATGAATGTTTAAAATAAACAAATACGGAGTATTAATCACTCTACATAATTGCAATCACTCTACATAATTGCAATACTTTATGGAGGAGCCACTTTCCCGCCCATGACATTTCTGCTTTTCATTTTCGCATTTTCGCAATTCATTTACGCCATCTTTTATTTTATTTACGGGTTTCGTATCCCGGTCTTCGATGCCTCACTGTCTTTCATCGCTCTCCCTCTCCCCTTCACAAAGCAAACGAGTCTCAGATCATGACTTCTTTTCACACAAACAGATGGATCGATAAAGATGAGGCAGATCTAGGGCTTTTCATTTCTCTTCCTTCTCACAGAGCAAATCGATTCTCCATTCTCCATTTGCAGATCCTGTTTTCTTCCCTATATAGATTTTACCTTTGGCTCTGCCGTTTCATCTTTCCTGCTCACCGATTCATTCCATATCATCATGAAAATAGATTTCATCGCAAAATGTAAATACGTAGTTCTTCCTTTTGATTAGGTGTGTGCTTTCATCATAAAATAGAAGGTGTTTGCTCTAACTCCCTCCAAATTGTTCCTTTGCTGAAGAGGGGGATGCGAAATTGCTGGAGCAGGGGGGCGAAATTGTTGTAGCAGGTGCTCTTCCTATTTTCTTTGATTTTTTTATATTATTAATTATTTTGAAAGGAGATGCTCAATATACAATTTATACATTTAACACATAGCTTAAGATTGTGAGGTTATGAGGGAATTATAAGAGCTTAAGATTGTGAGATTATAAGAGCAGGTTCTGTTTTATTGCCATGTTTAATCTATTTGTTTCACATTTAACACATAGCTTAAGATTGTGAGATCATAAGAGCAGGTTCTGTTTTATTGCCATGTTTAATCTATTGGTTTCCTTCTACTGATGTGTGGTTGTTGATTATGACTCAAGTACTACTTAGGGCAGGTTATGTTTTACTATCATCCTTAGCCTCTTTGTTGATTATGACTCAAGTACTTTTTAGGGAAGGTTATGTTTCTAAAACATTGGTGTTGACAGAAAGATCCATTTGTAATCATTTTATTGAAATATTCAATTTGTCATTCACTCATTGCAGGAAAAACAGTTTCTATTGTGCATCTTTTGTCGCTTTTAAGTTAAACACCAATTTGCAAATCGCTTAGTTACAGGTAAACTACTTCGCCTTTATGTCGTTTCTCAGGAACACATATGTTAAGTGCTACTGCAACCTTAGCTCACAAGCACAAAGCACAAAGGTAAATTACAATTAAATAAGTTTCTTAAACTAATATAACGTTTTTATTTATTAAATTGTGATCTCTAATCCATGTCAATCTAAAACCATGGAAGATGGAACTCGGTATGTTAAACTTTTTCTCAAAGGTGAATAGATCACCATTATTTTAGAGGGGTTGTATTGAAACATGTTTCATTGGGTTTGATTTGATACATATTGATATTGATTCTCAAACCTACTAAAGTAGCTAGACCTAAACAAGTTTGCTTTGTTCTTTTGACTATGCTAACTTTTAGTCTATACCACAGTTTAATTGAATCCACTCATTCTTAAATCTTCCACACAATGTTAAAACCTGACCAAGAAATACTGTTGAATCAAATTCCGCTTTTATTTAATAAGAAGTCTTTCTTTTTAGGTCATCTACAATACCAAAATAACAGCAACATCTCAGCAAAAAACTCTAGCTCAAGTCAATTCATATTTCTAAGACGATCATAGGGTTACAGAAAATAGGAATGTAACTCCAGTAGTTTTCTTTAAAAGGGGTATCTCATCATGAAACATGTGGTTTCTCTTTGCTATTATTTTTATCAAGCCTTTTAGTCTAAGTGTCTAACTAATTTGTTTCGCTCAACAATTCTTTTTGTAAATGATGTTACAGTTAGATTGGAGTGAGCGTTTAGTAGAGCTCAAATTAAAAGTAAGAGAAAAGGGACAAATAAGCCCACGTACTAACAAAAAAATGTCAAATAAGCCCTTATATAAGAGGTTTTGTCCGACCGTTGCCATTTGGGGCGGTTCCCGATGGAATTTTTTTATGAATTTTTTTTAACATCTTATTTATTAAGTTTAGTTTACTCATACTAAATTTCAGCTAAAATTTCAATCGGGAAGGTATTCAAATGAATTCTTGAAGATAACTGTGCAGTTAAAAGCGCACTTATCTTCAAAAAATTATTTGAATGCCTTCTCGATTGACGCGCAGTAAAAACTAATTGAAGTACTAAGCAAAGCATATTTCTATGGGCGGCCGGGGCTGGTGAGATCAAACATTTCCACACTACATATTTCCTTCATGTTAAAGGCATAAGAAATATTATACGAGCTGGAACAGAAAAAAGGTTTAGACAAAGAATGAAAAAATGGGGATTTGCAATAATAACAAAATTAGCATATGTGAAATGAAAGAAGAAAACGACCCTAAGTTGCAATAAAGAATAAAAGTTTAAATAAAAAACATTCAAGGGGTGATGAATTTCAAGGAGACACCAGTGGCGGAGCCAAGTGTTGGCTTATGGTGTCAAATGACACCACTCAAAATATATATTTATTGTATATATATGTATATGTAGAATGAAAATGTTAAAATGGCACCACTAACTTTTTCATATATAAAAGTTAGTGGTGGCATTTTAACATTTTCATTCTACATATACATATATATATATACAATAAATATATATTTTGAGTGGTGTCATTTGACACCATAAGCCAACACTTGGCTCCGCCACTGGTCTCTCCTTGAAATTCATGATAAGAGAAATAGAGGGTCCAAATATAATGTTAATATTTGCAGTGAACCTTGATGTGATTTAACTCATTTGAGCAATAAAATAAAGTTTCAACAAATTATTGGTATTATGCAAAAAGAAGATATCCCAGCCTCATAAAAAACACCTTCTTAGCTTTTATTTGGTTGTTTAGATTTTGGGGAAATAACATGAAAGTGAAGACGGGTGGTTATTACTTATTAGTTCAAACCTTCACACATCTCATTTTTTCCATTTGCTGATAAAAATATGAGCAAATTAATTCAAATGTGTGACATAAATAAAAGAAAAGATGCATTATATTGTACTGATTTTACCAATACAAATTAGAACTAATTGCTAAGGTGATTACAAACATATTTATCTGATAACAATATTGGCATTTATCTGATAACATTAATGGATTTCAAATTTCAGACAAGCATTCGAGGCAGGAATGAATTTGAAATCTTATAGAGTATATAATAACATCTAATGGATATAAACAATACCAGATCATGCACCCAAACTGATTGATCAAATTTCACAATATTAGAAAAATCACTCATTTAAGGAAACCCAAAAAAAACAATAGAGTAGTTCTTTTTCTCGGGTAAGCAATCTTGTATATCAACCTACCAAAACAACTTACACAATTGATTACTAAAAGAGCAGCAAGCCTTTTTTTATAAAATCGAACCAAATAAACAATAATATGAACTATGACATTCGATCCTTATAGATCATCTAAATGTGAATATAGAAAGTGAGTGAAATTCTGATAATCTACCAAGCCAAAGACACACTACATCATATATATCACTTTTAGATTACATTTTGGAAATAATTTCACATACTCCGTATATACCAATAAAAATAGTAGACAAAAATGTGACCTAATAAATTTAGTGACTATAATTGCATTCAAATGTTACGTCATATATTGAGAATAAGTATATAAATATGATAAATAAAATATAATATGTTGCACATTAATTGAGTTTTCCTTTTAATTTTTTTTTGGAAAGTTAAGCTTCGTACGGTGAAAATAGAAATTTAAGCTTCTTAAATTTATGGATAAATATGGTAAATAAAATATACTACCTCTGTCTCATTTCCAAGTAAAATAACTTGGAACAGTTATTAATGAAGTGATTGAAAAGTAAAAGTTGTGGTGAGTATGTTTTAATACGAAATCATTTGAAAGTTATATTTTTTTTATACATAATCATTTTTGGGTGTAAAATATTCAATTTCTATTAAAAATATTTTCATAAAATATAATATGTATAAATATGATACAAATATAATAATAAAATTATTGTCTGAATGATTTTGTATAAAAATGATAATTAGTAATAACAAAACATATCGTCCCAAAAAAACGTGTGTATTACAGATTTACAGGGCAGAATTATTTTATAAATGTTAATATTTTATTTCTAAATAAATTACTCCCTCCGTAACTTTAAAATCTTTCCACTTCAAAAGTAGGTAGATTAAGAATAGTGAAAGAGAATATGAATTATTGAGGGTATGATGGGAAAATAGTGGAATAATGTGGTGGTATGAAGAATATATCCAAAAAAAATTGTATTAGTGTATTATTTTAAAATTATTGAGAGTATGATAGAAAGATTGAGAAATGGGAATTTTTTTTTGCTAGGGACGAAAAAGAAAAGTGAGAAGATATTTTTTGTTACGGAGGGAGTAGTACGTACACGGTAAGAAAAATTCTCAATGATGCTAAAATTACATCTAACAATGGTCATTAAATTTGTTTCTAAAAATATCCGCATCAAATTTGTTAATTTATGTATGTATATACGTACTATCGTATAAGGTAGGATATACTCCGTATAAACTACCGATTCAAATTGAAATCACTGCAAAGACAGTACCCAAAAAGAACAAGGACCCCGCTTTGTGATAATCCAATCAATTGAATGAGTTAAATGAGTTAGCATGTTTTCATCATTGACAAAAAAATCAATACATAGCAATCCTTTTCGGACGGAGGTAGTATAAGATAAAATACCTAAAATGGTTTCTACGGTAACTACATCCAATTTCATTGAAGTTAATTGGTATAAAAAATAATTATATAGATTTTAAGTAAAACAGTATAAGAAGTAATTAGGTACAAAAAGAATAATGTTAATGTAGTTTTAATTTACATACATAATTAATCTCACATATATGAGCATTAATAAATTTTAATACCTCATAAAGTATCGCCTATTTTTGCTGCTACAATTTCTAACCTTTTTATTGATTAAAACAAAAACCTTTTCATTAATGTTCAATGAACTATGGTGTTCAATTTGTTGAACGGTTCCCCTTTTCACCCATTCTTCTATTTGTTTTGATGTCTTCTAAAAGTGGTGTGAAGTAACTTATTAGTGTCAAGGTCATAGAGTTAATCATTTGCGAAACTTTAACTTTGAGAGAAGTATTACGAAGGGAAAGAACATTCAGAAAAATCTTTAGTGGCAAATATACGCTCATTCCGAGCGGTTAATCTGTATAAGGTAGAAAGGATTGATATTCGATATGCATGTATTACATTGAATGGGTATTTATTATTGGGTTAAATGGTTTAAAAAGTTTGGTAATATTTTCATTCACCGTTTTTTCAGTATTAATATTAACGGATTTTTTTAACAAATAAACATTGCACGTATCTTTATCCTAAGTACATGTATTGGTTATGATTTATTTCATTCCAACGTTTTCTATTTATTAAACTTGATTATACATTAGAAAAGTTCTTTGTTTATCCGTGCAACGCACGGGTCGATTGATTAGTATACCAATAAAAATAGTAGACAAAAATGTGACCTAATAAATTTAGTGACTATAATTGTATTCAAATGTTACGTCATATATAGTGATTATAAAACTTACACATGGTAACTCATAGTCACATTTCTATCCATAGATTTTTTCTAATTATATTTTACAAAACTCTTACATTTTGGAAATGTTGAAATCATCTCCTGAGTATTACTTTCCCCCTTTCAAAAAAAAAATATTACTTTCCCCAAATTTAAATTATTGAAACATTTTATCCACCACTAACTCATATGGGGCAAAAGATATCATTGTTCTGTGGTCTCTCTACCTTTCTTCGAAGGAAAATAATCATTTTCTTCCAATTTTATTCGATCTATGTCGCTAGGGGCGGACCTATAATTGTTCAAAAGTGTTCATGTGAACAGGGGCGGAGCCAGGACACTGGGCCGGACTGGGCCGGTACAAAGAATATTTTTGAAAAAAAAATACACAGATTTTTTTACACTAAAAATATAGAGATTTTTAAAATTTAGGCTGGGCCAAGACCAGGGGTGGCCACCCCCTAGCTCCGCCCCTGCATGTGAACAACCAAAAAAAATTAACTAGTCATGCAAAAATACATGTATATGAGTGAGTGCTTGTATTAAAATTTATATATGTATATGAACACCTAAAACTTATAAAAAAAATTTGAACTTTCAAAATTAATGTCCAAGATGATGTCATTTGATTTATAAGGCATGTTGCTCTTTTCTTCTTCTTTTCTGTCCTTTGATTTCTTACTTCTCTTTCTTTAGTCATATTTTCCAACTCTAGTATTAAAACATTTTTTATTTTTCCAGTAAATTGAATGACGTTAATTTGGACAACGATTTTAAATATTGCCAAACTTATGACAAACTTAATGAACCGATATTTATAAAGAATAATTATCCATTTATTTGGAAAAATATATTCGTAATGGAATAATGGATATATATCATCATAATGATAAAAAAGAGTGGAAGGAAAAGTTGTATGTAACACCAAAGGAAAAAAGAAATGGCAAGAATGACAATGTAAAATACATAAAGAAAAATTGACGCATGGAAGATTTAAAGGATGAAAAAACAACAACAAAAAACATATTAGGAAGTCTTTCCCACAGAGCTCATCACTATGTGAGAGTGTGAGACTGAGACCTACCAAGTTAAAAATTTGCTATTCTCATATCCCATTTTACTTGAATGGCCGGTGAGTTTTGCCTTCCTATTTATCCCCAATTGCACGGGTAGAACATTATTGGGCTAAAATATAAAACAAATTCTATTGTACCTTCAAGGTGTGGTACTTTGGTCACGTGAGTTAATTTCTTTTGACGTACTTTATCGCATTAATCTATTCTATTATATGCAATTTTCTTGTTTGGGATAAGTTTCAAACATGTTCTTCAGGAGTGTCACGACAGCTAATTAAAATATAACAATTCAATAATTTAAAAATAAATAAATAAATAATGAAGTGATGGCTTGGATCAACTAGATGCATGATAATTGTAATACTATTGATGGACCCGGGCCGGGCCTAGGCCCGGTTGGGCTTTAGAAGTTGGGAGGTAGGCCCAGAACCGGCCCGGGTAACTCCCGGGTCCGGGTCAGGCCTCGGGCCAAATTCTATTTTTTCCCTTTTTCTACCTAACCCTCGACCCCCCCACCCCCAACCCCCCCAAACCACCCCAAATGGACCAAAATACCCAGCCCAACCCGGGAATACAAAAAAGAATTGAAAAAAAATTATGGCCCGAACCAGGCCTGGGCCGGTTCCTTATTTTCCTGACCCGAGCCCGCACCGGAAAACCCCCCAGGCCGGGCCTACCCGGACCGGTCCCTGGCCGGGCCACCAGGTCGGGCTGGGCCTAGCAGTACCGGGCCGATTCCGGGTCGGGCCACCCGGCCCGAGTCCACCACTATGTGATACCCTTACTTATTTGTGGGCTACTGTACCATTCACCAAATCACCAAAGTATATTAACGGTTATACTCTGGTGCTCAAGCTGGATAAGCAATTTGAGCAATGACCAACCAACCATCTTCATTTATATGTCTGTTCTCAAAGGAGGCGTATTTTGTACTTATGCTATGTTAAAAAAAACTCATTTGTTCCTATTGGCATCCTACGATTCTAATGTCTATGTTATTCTACCTAAAATGATCCCTAAGGAAAATGTCCATATGCAAAAACAGTGTAACATCACTTACAATTTTATATTTAGTTCTTAAAAATTAAACACAAAACACATAGGGAAAATGCAATATTTTGATTTATTGAGTTTATAAATGAGGTAAATTAAATAAAAAGAGATGGCTTATGAGTTGTGAGTTACCGATCTAAAAGAGTATTAACATTAGAGTTTCTATTTGGATTTTTATGCTTACGCAAACAATTTTACTCCATCCCAAAATCATCTAGCTTGACTTTACCCGATTTTATAAGAAGTGAAAAGTGGATAACTAATATTTTTATAGAAAAGCTAGAAAAAATGTGACTACAAAATGCTTTACTTAAAAGAAAAATGAATATAATTTTTAAATAGATATGAATGTATGATGATCAAAAGAGACGGAGAAAGTAACTCACAACAATAACTTTCCAAAAAATTACATACTTCTTCGAATTTAATGATGGAAATGAGCGCCAATCGGTCATAGGTCACAGATTTCCTAACTTCAGAGTAATGCATAAAAAAAATACAGCAAAGAAAGTAGCAATAAAGAAGCACTAGTATTGGGTAAGGATGGATCAGTTGGCCAGTCGCTGCCGAAGTATAGTACTGAGTAACAACTTAGTCAGGTAAGAAAGAGCATGCCTCTAATAGTCTAATGTTAGCTGGTCTCTATCAGAATAGTCCAGCTTGTTAACCTACTTTCAATTCCCTATTCTTCTAAGTAGCTTGTATAGGCCAAAGACATTCATCTGCTGCCAACGATATGGAATAAAGAATGATCGGTACAACGGCGGTGATAGTTCTCTATCCAAATAAGGAAAGGCTGCAACAACCTGAGGCCAAATATCTTGTCAACAAAGTGCTGCATGAAATGAAAAGAAAGAATTGTGAATGACGAATAATTACCTCCCATTTTGAAGAATCGCTTCCTTGGGTCAAAAGAGGTCGTTGCAACTGCAGCTCTATTAGGAAGGTACACTCGTCAGGATTGGTGATCTGTCATGTTGTTACCGACACATAAATGTCAATCGCAATAGTCTTGTATTGTACCACAAAAACATGTAAAACATGGCAGGTCATGGAGATCATCCAGAAAGTAAAAAGTGATAATGATACTCCGTAGTAATAGTTCAGATTTCAGGCTCTAACTTAAAAGAATCTCATAGGGGGTGTAACTCGAGGTTTATATGTGAGCTTGTATTATGCCTATGGCATGACTCAATATGCCACAGTAACTCATTGGATATAGATGTGGTAAACAATAATAATACAAACAACATCCACACAAATGAAGCGTGCAATAAGGAAATAGAATGATTACATATTGGTTCTTGGAAGCCTTGTTCTTATTGTTGAAATAAGTTGGTGCTGCAGAAGTCCCACCCAAACTAGTATTAAATGGCAATGGCAGGAGACCCCTGAATCCGTCATCCAACCAACGTACTTTGTCCACATACTCAGGAACCAAAAAGGATGTGGGGAAGCGATGCCACTCACTTCCAACACAAAGGGTTGCCCCTGAAATACAATGGGTAAGGAGTTGTTCCCATTAGTGATTTAACCATACAAAGATGAACCATTCAAAACAACACTTCAAGATTTCGGGAAAATAACGGAGATTAATCACATAGGTTTCCATAACACACTACAGAAAATTAATATTCCCTCTTTCCCAAAATGTAAGATACATTTTGGGTTTGACAAGTGTTTAAAGAAAAAATTACAAGTATATAGTCGCTCTTTTACAGTTGTAACCTTCAAAAGGTAAGAAACACAGTTTAAGTCCAGAAAAAGTAAGAAGGTGAAATGATCAAATAAAGGGATATAGTATGAAAGTAAAAAAAAAAAAATCGCTCATACTTTTTGGACAGTCCAAAAAGGAAAGTAACTTATAAAATGAGACTGAGGGATTTTAACATGTTCCGATATGCTGATGATGAAAATTAATTTCACATAAATTTTAATGATATTTCTGAAGATCGCACCTGCTCCAACATCATCATGATAATCCAAATGTTTGTAAATTTCTAATGGAGCAGAATAACCATTAATCAGAGAGAAAGTCCTAGCATGGGAGGCACATAAAATTAGGCCAAGAGCCACAGGTCTGAGAAACTTTGAAACCTGTCATAAGCAAAGCTAACATTTTAGTCTCCATCACAGCTTGAACAAGCAAGATCTTATGATACACTCTTGTCCCAAAATAAACTTCCTATTTTCCTTTTAGAACCATCCCAAAATAATCTTCTTGTTTTCTTTTAAGGAAAGAAATATCTGCTTATCATTTATACCCATGTTGTTTATACCCAAATCTCAACCACGTCTTTTCCTTTTCATCAGTTTTCTATTAAGAAAACAAACTAAACAACTTTATTTCGAGACGAAGGGAGTAATAAATGGGACCAAGGCACAGAGAATGTTACCACAACAAGCACGTTAGGGTCATAAGGATTATACTTATCGCGGAATAAGTCAGGAAAGCTCTCAATCACAGCTGAAGCAGCAACGCAAATAAGTGGATAAATTGGGTATAAGAACCTGCAAAGGCAGCAACAAACAAATATGTTTTTACATAATTCATTTTGCAACTTTAAGATAACAGTAACATGCATTTATTTCTAATGTAATTATTTTGAAATAAATATAGCTCCAGCTGTATAACACTAAAGATTTAAAAGCATATATCAGATAGAAAACTTTGTGGGATACAGGTTGCATAACAAAAGCAGAGACAGTTGCACAACAGTTTTTCCAGGTTTAGTGCAATATAAACTTAAACATTGATATACTTGATGCAACAGATTGTTTGTTTCTTTTAAAACTTTTAACAGCTTCTAACACAAAATTGCAACAAGTTACTTCAAATGGTTGGGAGAACAATGAATCCCATAAACAAGAGCCCAGTGAGGGATAAAAAAAGGTTTTTGCATTGTTAATATTAAGCAAAATGAAGGCTATGGGCTATGGGAAACGAATGCCCATCATCACTTGGTATAAAACTATTGTTTATCAATGTCCATGATTAATGAGTGTATTACGTGCTCTTTCTTTCTGAGTGTCTCACTTTAGGAATGAATAACTACAAGAATGACGAAGAACATTAACCAATGAAAATCTTTTCAATTACTATAGATGTTGAATCCATGTACAGAAAATATTAAACTTTGTTTCCGAGTTTTTTTTGTCTAATGATTTTTAGCTTCTACAAGCTTAGGATTTTCCATCATTTGCAATGGAGCCAAAGATTCATTATTTTTTGGCTTGAGAATATGATGGAATAAGACTACGTACATCCGACCCCCCCCCCTTACTCCACCGTAGGTGGAAGCCTTTGCGGCATTGGGGTAAATGATGAAATGATGACAAGCTTAGGGTGTACCAGAAATAATCCACAAGTTTAAGGTTCAGGTTTGCAAGGCCGGGATTTAAAATTTTTGCAGATTGGTTGCAGGTATTCAAAATTTTTGCAGGTATTTAAATGAAAATGATGATGGTTGCAGGTATTCAAGCTCTATTGAAAATGACAAATATCACCAACATTGACATGAAATTGCCAAGTCATTAGGGAAAGTAGAATTTATACATGCCAAAATAAATTAACAACGGCGCCAAAAACTGATGTGTGTCCACCCGGCAACGACGCCAAAAACTGATGTGAGTTTTCTCGCACTTGAAAAGATTGTAGAATGGTGGTGAAAAGTACGAGTATCGTCTCCACAGGGACGGACAAAAAGGAAATAAGGATTAACTAAATTCAGCGATTAAAAATAAATAAATAAATAAATAAATAAATAAATAAATAAATAAATAAATAAATAAATAAATAAATAAATAAATAAATAAATAAATAAATAAATAAATAAATAAATAAATAAATAAATAAATAAATAAATAAATAAATAAATAAATAAATAAATAAATAAATAAATAAATAAATAAATAAATAAATAAATAAATAAATAAATAAATAAATAAATAAATAAATAAATAAATAAATAAATAAATAAATAAATAAATAAATAAATAAATAAATAAATAAATAAATAAATAAATAAATAAATAAATAAATAAATAAATAAATAAATAAATAAATAAATAAATAAATAAATAAATAAATAAATAAATAAATAAATAAATAAATAAATAAATAAATAAATAAATAAATAAATAAATAAATAAATAAATAAATAAATAAATAAATAAATAAATAAATAAATAAATAAATAAATAAATAAATAAATAAATAAATAAATAAATAAATGCGTCGTGCGAGATATGATTGGGTTGGAAAATTAACTGTTTTAAATTCCGTGTGCTGATTATCGTAAGTCCCGTTGTTCGATTTGCTTGAGGACAAACAAAAGTTTAAGTGTGGGGGAATCTGATAAGTCCATATCTAAACACGCATTTGATGCGTATTGGAGTCGGATTTTGATGGTTTTCCTAGCCTTAAAGTGTTGCAAGTCTCAATTTTAGCTCAAGATGTGATTATCAGGCGTTGTATCGAGTTTTGTTGCATTTGGAGTTGAATTGAAGAAGTTAGAGCCCGGCAATCGGCGCTTGAGAGGCATTTGAGAAGGATTTGAAGGTATTCGAAGAAGATTTGAGAGATTTGGAGGTCACCGGGAGATTCGCGACGAAATTCTGATGAAGATAGAGCATTTGGATAGACCTCGTATGCATCCGGGAGCATTTGGAGCAAGAAACGGTGAGAAATGATGAAGAAAAGGCCAGGCACGATCGTGCCTGCATTGAGGATGGCACGGGACATTTCTGCCAGCCAGGCACGATCGTGTCCTGGCCAGGCACGATCGTGTCCTGGCCAGGCACGATCTGCCTCCACCCGAGACACGCGTTTGTTCCGCAGGCACGGTTCCAGGCACGATCGTGCCTGGCGTCGTGCATGGCCCCGATTTGTCCTAATTCAGCTCAAATTCACCTGTTTTCTATAAATAAGGCCTCCATACCCCTTTTTGAGGGTTACGAACTTTGTGGAGAGGCCTAGGACGAATTTTATCTGCGTTTTTACGTTGTTTACTTCAACAACCTGGGACTCTTTGTAAGTTCAATTCTTTTAATTAATGACAATTTATTCTATTCATCCCAATTCTGTTGATTCTTCAATTATGAATTGTGAGTAGTTTAATTAGGGATTTGGGGTTGATGAAGGGGTTAATCATGATGTATTGCTAGATTCCTTTCAGTTTAATTGCATGAATGTCGTTTAATTTGTGTTTGAATAATTTAACTGATATCTCTTGTAACCTAGACTGCAACTAGAATTACAATTGCATGTAGAATGAATTAAGAGAGATCTAATTTGTTCTAGTACACATTCACACACACTTAATCGTTCGCTAAGAGATTAGTAGCGATTAAGGAGCCGTAAGCTCGCTCGTCTTGACAATAATTTAGGATATTGTCGCAAGAGAGATCAGCCTGGTCCCCTAAATTATTGTACTCTACGGCGCGAGAGCGGTAAGAACTTAGTAATGATTAGCTAGGCTCAATTAAATCAATTTCATGTAATTAGGCCTGATCTGCCAGAAATCTGGTTAACCCCGGAATCAATTTCTGTTCCCTTCGTCGTTAATTAAGGAAAAACCAATCTTTTTACTCTCTCATTAGCATTAGTTTTATTTTACTCAATCAATCAAACTCGCACAATTGCATTTTATTTTATTTTATTTATTTCTTTTTAATCACTGAATTTAGTTAGTCTTTAATTCTCTTTTGTTCGTTCCTGTGGAGACGATACTCGTACTTTCAACCACCATTCTACTACATTTTTAAGTGCGAGAAAACACACATCAGTTTTTTGGCGCCGTTGCCGGGGACGGTTCCCATGTAACAATGTAAACGTGGCAGAAAAATAAAAATGTGTATGTAGTTAATAAAAGAACTATGAATGGAGATAAGCTAACCTTTCTTCTTTGTGTGGCTGTAATGACATAAAAGCAAGCCAGATATACACAGGTGAAATGATAACCAACAACTCACGGTCATACTTCTTTTTAGCAATGGGAAATATGCCAATGAATAGTAGAGCGAGTACAAAGCCAATGTTGAAATTATTAAAGCCATTCCTCAGGTAAAACAATGGCCCTTCAGTACCATAGAGATGACTTTGACCACCCCCTAAGGCATTGTACAACAATAAATTCACAACAGAAGATGTCCACTTTTTGTAGTAAAAATGGTCAACAAGTATAGAGAAAGCCTGAAATATTTTTTCACAAAATGTTACTGTAAAATGCAGTATCTAGCAGTATGAACTTTTTAGGGGCAAAAGCATTTTATGATGATGGGAAGGAAAGAGGTATGAAATGAGTATAGAACAAAGGGGAGATGAAGTAAGACAACATTCAAAGCAAACATACCACAACGACAATAGAAGTGATAACCCCAGTAAGAAATACTTGCCGGAATCTTCTAATTAACGAGTATACTGTGATTGGAAGAAACGCTAACACCGAAAAAGGCCAGCCTACAATAACTCCAGTTGCTGCAACAGCAACAACCATGGCAGGCTTCTCAAAAAGAAATAATGCTGATGAAAGAGACATGGCATACATAGAGAACGAGCTAGGAAGGAAACCTGTGCATACAATCAGAATTAGTGTAACAATATAAAACAATGGGGTGTATGAGAGACACTAAACAATAAGAGACACTAAACAATAACAATGAGAGACACTTGATGAACAGTATAAATGTGTACTTGTACTAGCAAAGAAGCAGCCGCTGGTTAAACATAGCATGGCAAGTGTATATGAAGCAAGGCGTTTTCCATACTTCCGGGAAAGGGCAACAACAAGAGCAGTCTCTGTGATGACAGATAGAAGGCCAAGAAATATTCTTACAGCGTAAAATACTCTAACCTGAACAAGCATATGAAATTAGAAAACAACAAAATATTAAATATTCAGGCAAAAAAATGTGACTCACTTTCTCTTCGCCGAACCACCAGGAAGCTGGTAAACCCACTAAATTGTGAAATATAATATACAGATACGACCTCAATGCAAACTGTGAACTGCAATAGACAAGTAATGCAATTAAAATAACTTATAATCCATGACAACAAAAGTTAAGATGACCAAAGGTCCAAACTCCAAATCCAAAGAAAACATATATAAGTCCCATCACCATTAACATTGTATCTAATAAGCCTTGACAGACAAAAGGAAGTATCTTGGTAACAAAGTTACAGAATTAAAAAAACAATTCAGCAGAATGCAGTGCCAAAATGGAAATCTATCACATGATATACTGATTACCATTACTAGATGCTTAATCATTACTGTCCTAGAAAAGAATGATCCATTGTTAATTCTATTAAAAACGATCCAGATTCAATGCAAGATACTAGCAACAAACAAGATTTTTAATATCTCAAATAACTTGCTGAGGTTGATGGAAATCTCATGGTCAAAATTGTAATTGTAAAATATCAACTACCATATATCTCCAACAAGATACAAGGAAATCTATTAAAGAATTACTTAAGCAACATAAAAATGGCATAATAAATAAAATGACGCACAGATGTAGAATTGTGTATGGGGGGGGGGGGGGTGAACCTGTATTCCCATGTTTGGAAGCCAGACTTGTAGAGGAGGTAATGAAGAGGCTCCCAATAATTGAAAGTCTCATCGCAGTCATGTATTATGTTCGTTGTAGCGCTCATATACCTCAGTAGCCCTAAGCACACGATCGGCAGAAACCAGCTAACCCCTCTCTCCTCAGCATCCTTAGCGTTCGACTTCTCCGGCTTGTCTAGCTTCGAATACGGCACCGGTTCCGATAGATCAGTTGGAGTCGGCGGCCGTCGCTGCCGTGTAGCCATCGCCATTTCAGTGTCTCTTCTAAAAGTGAGTGCTGACTGGTCAAGGACTCAAAAATTGAATTAAACTGGTCGATACATTAGTAAAAGTGAGTGCCATCGGTACTTCATTGAACACTTTACAAGTAAAATTACGAAGCACTTTATTTAGCTAAAAATCACTTTACCAGAAAGAATTCTTCAAACAAGTATAATACTGAGGACTGCAGTTTGTAATCACAAGATTAAAAATGGGGTATTTAGCCTTTGCACCCTCTTTTATACCCTTAATTAGCCTTTGCACCCTAATTCGAAAATTGTTAGTATCTACACCCTCCATCCGTTAGTTATCTGTCAATAGGTAAACAGAGGTGTAAAATGACGCCAATGCCCTGATGAAACTAACTTCCACAATCGTACACCCTCCATCCGCAGTCTTCTTTCTCAAAGAGCGTCAATTTGAATGTTCTACCAATTGGATTGGTGCGAGTGAATTAGGGTTGGGATGAACGAAGGAAATAGAATGGAAGATGGTGACAACGTATGGGTGGATTCAGGAGTACCTATACAGAGTGGTGTGCAAAGGATTCAGAGGACATCAAAGCTTCCTGTGAAGAGAAAGATGGATTCTTTACCGGCTCCAAGTAAGTTGAATGATGCTTAGTTTGTCATATTTGATTATGAAGATTCTTTTATAAAGAGTATGTTATATTCAGTTTGTGACACATATTTTTTAATTTTTGATTATTAAGATGAGTTATTTGAATGATTTCAGTTAGGGTACCATTCTATGAATCTAGCATAGATGAAAGAACAAATAGTGATGGTTTTGGTGATATATTCATTGAATTACCTCCACTGAACAACTCTCTGAATGTGCCAAATGTAGAGGATAGCTCACAGTTTTATGAAGGTATATGCTCATTACTCGGTTCAATATAAGGAAATTATGTTGTGTTGTATATGTATTAAAGTAAATGACTTATTTATATTGTTGATTGTTGATATACATGTTATTGTACTATGCTATGTAGGTATCCAATTTGAGCAAATTATTGATGGACTAGATGGGTATGATCTGAATGAATCAGATGATATGAATGCATCAGATGAGGAATTACATGACTGTAGTTCTTATACAGAAGAAGGGAGTGATAGGGATGATGTACAAGGCACAACAAATGGGGAGAATATAGGTGAGGTGTTGAATGGTATGCCACAGAAAGCTTATGACTGCAATGAGGAAGCTTTTATTGGATCAAGTTCTGTGCAATGGGAAGACCAATTAGACTTGGCAATCGGAAAACAATGGGTCACTATGGATGCATGCAGAAAGTACATTAGAATGTATGCCATCAAGAATAAATTTGAGATCATATTTCAGAAAAATTGTGCAGATAAGCTGATTTTGAGATGTAAAGGGGAAAGCTGTCCTTGGAGGTGTTATGTAATTAGAAAAAATGATGGGCACACAACTGAAGTGAAGTCTCTCCAAGAAGAACATAATTGTGAGAATGATGGCAGGAACAAGAATAGAGGGGCAAATGCTAGATGGATTGCTACTATGCTGGCTGAGGATATGAGACTGCACCACAACAGTTACACACCCCAAGATATCATTGCTATAGCTTGGAATAGGTGGACTTTAAACATTAGTTACTGGCAAGCATGGAATGCTAGGCTAATGGCACTTGAAGAGCTGCATGGCAATTATGAGAAAAGTTATACTAAAGTTCCTGAATTGTGCAGACAGATTCTAGCTTCCAATCCTGGTAGTTTGGTTGAGTGCAAATATGACTCTGACAATAAGTTTCAGTATTTATGTGTTGCTTTTAGGTGTAGCTTGGAAGGGTGGAGGACTGGCTGTAGGCCACTAGTAGGGTTGGATGGTTGCTTCCTAAAAGGAAAATATAGAGGAGTGTGCTTAGCAGCTATTAGCATGGATGGGAATAATGGACTGTTTCCTCTAGCAGTCTTCATTTGTAGAAAAGAAGATGGTGAGAATTGGGACAAGTTTTTGGCATTAATAGCTCCGGAGCTGAAGAAACACCCTTTGCCACTTACTGTCACATCTGATAGGGCTCAAGCTATTATAACAAGTATTCAGACACATTTGGGAGGCTGCAATCCTAGGAGCTGCTTTAGACACATCTTCAAGAATATGAGTAAGTGGTGGAAAGGGGAACACATAAAGGAACTGGCCTGGGCTACTGCTTCAGCATATAAAAAGGTTCACTTTCAAAGATGTCTTCAGAAGTTGGATGAAGCTGCAGTTGGTATCAAGGAGTATTTGTTGGAGATAGGTCCAGAGTTATGGTCAAGAGCACATTTTGATACAACTTGTAAGAGTGATCACCTGACAAATAACTTCACAGAGAGCTATAACAGTTTTATATTAAGCCAAAGGGATAAACCTGTGTGTTCAATGATAATAGGTATATCATTCCTTTTAATGAAGATTATGTATGATAGGAAAGTTCAAAGTAGTACTTGGAATGAGAATGATGTTGTACCTAGGGTAGGTAGCATCCTGGCAGCTTATAAAGAGAAGCAAAATGATTATGTCACTTGCCCTTCAGGTGAAGGGACATTCTGTGTGAGAAAATTTACCGGGGAACATTGGATTATTAACTTAAACAAACAAGAGTGTGAGTGTTGTGAGTGGCAGGTCACAGGCATCCCATGTGTACATGCAGTGCATTTGATTAGCCATTTGAGACTTCCACTACCTCAGTATGTTCCTATTAACTTTACTTTATTTCTTTGTTTAATTTTTATATTGGAACTGAATGCTTGTTTTGTATTTCACTTCATGTTGTTGCTGGTTATAGATTTTGTAGTCCATTACTACATGTGAAGGCCTACAAAGCATGTTATCAAACTAATATCAAACCAATATCACATGAAAGTGATTGGCCAGAGGTAGTATGAAATCAATATATACATTCATACATTCCAGAATCATTAGGCATAAATACTAACCATAATAAGCACTATTTTAAAATTGTGCAGGGAAATGAACTTCTACTGCCCCCTAAGCTTTCCAGAGCCCCCGGGAGGCCTAAAAATAATAGAGTAAAGGGGCATGATGAGACAGAAACACAAGGCAGTAGTCAGAAGAAGTGCACCAAGTGCCAATCTTTTGGGCACAACAAAAGATCATGTCAAGGAGGGCCAGTTGCTAGAGGTGGTGGGAGAGGTGCTACAGGTGGTGCAAGGGCTGATGGAAGGGCTGGTTCAAGGGCAGGTGCAAGGGCTGGTTCAAGGGTAGGTGCAAGGGCTGGTTCAAGGGCTGGTTCAAGGGCTGGTTCAAGGGCTGGTTCAAGGGCTGGTTCAAGGGCAGGTGCAAGGGCTGGTTCAAGGGCTGGTTCAAGTGCAGGTTCAAGGGCAGGTGAAAGGGGTGGTTTTGTACTAAATGGGCGTGGTGCTGGAAGGGCAGGTGGTACAAGGGGTAGAAGAGGTGGTGGAAGTACTACTGCCTACCACCTGTAAGTCATATGTGTATATATATATGTTTTTGCAGAGTTGTTGACACAACTAGTGTTTACCACAACTAGTTGTTGCTGCAACCGGTTTTGCTCACTGCACAGATGCAATATATGTGGTCCAACATGGTTTTTTTGCTCCTTGTAAATTCTAGACATGAAGCTCACTCTTTTTGTATAAGTACTAGAGCTAATTAATTTGCTAGAATTAGATAACAACAAAGTATAAACACTTTGCACTTGCAGTTTTTTGCTCAATGTAATATGAAAGGTCTGTTGACCAAAACAGTTATATTATATAATGAGTTTTTTACTCATAAGTTGAATTACATCACATACTTGACCTTCATATGTTACTTTCCCCCCATCTTGTTCTACAGTGACTTTAACATTATGGTTTTGGCTAGGACTGGTTGTTATTGCTTCACTTGTGGATGGTGTTTCCTTGGTTGGTACATCTCTTGGTATTTCTTTCTGTTTTGGTAAATCTACCCATTTGAATGCTTGACATTGGGGCTGACCTCTGCATCTTAGGAATCTGCATCCATAGCTTCTTGATTGTTGAGATGTGTATAAGTCCATGTTGTTTGGGCAGCCCTCTATACAAGGAATGTATTTATAGGTGCATGACTTGGCCCAATGACCTTGTTCTCCACAATGGAAACACTAAACAAAAGATAATATGTTAGTCTTGTTAGCAAGAACAAATGAAATAAACAAAACTCATACCTTGTTCCAACTTCTTCCCCCTTCCCCTGCAGCCATATGAGTATTCAAGAAGGGTAATAAGCAGCTTTTTCCAACCTGAAATGTGTATTGATTTATAGGGAGTAATGTGGAAGGGTAGTTACATATTGTTGGATGAGCATTTATGACTCATTTATGGTTTGATGTATACATTTATTGTACTTTGACTAGTAAGGGAGTTGTTGACATATGCTTTGTTTTTTCTTTCTTAGATTTAAATTATGTTCTTATCCTTTATCTTCATGTTGTATCTCTTTTTTCAATAGGTCTGAGCTTGGTGTTCTGGGATTTGTGTTTGACTCACTTCTGGGTAATGTCATTAGTGTGCATTTTTTTCTTCTGTTTTGTAGCCTCATTTCAAGCTTCACTTTTGTAGGATGGGTTTGTGTTAAGTCTTGCAAGTCTGAGATGTGTAGGTTTGGGAGCTGTTTGGGAAGTCTGGGATTGGGAGCTGTCTGGGAAGGCTTATGTCATTTAGGATGGGTAGGATGCCAGGAGGGTATTCATGTAGGATGGGTAGGATCAAACTTTAGTTTTGTAGGATGGGTATTGTGTTAATAAAGGATGGATTGGGAGCTGTCTGGGAAGTTTAGGATGTGTAGCACCAAGCTGCCAGGAGGGTATTCATGTCCTTTAGAAATGTTTGGAAGGTTAACTAACAGACCTGGTTAGTTTAGGGTGTAAATACTAACAAATTTCGAATTAGGGTGCAAAGGCTAATTAGGGGTATAAAAGAGGGTGCAAAGTCTAAATAACCCTAATCGTAAGCAGTCCACAACAAATTGCAAGTAGTCCAAGACTTGATCACTAAACCTAGGTTTTTATAAAATTAGGTAAACCTAGGTTAAAGTAGTAAATTGTTGTTTGGGTAAAGGTACTTTTTATGGTATTGGGTAAAATGTAATTGTAAAATATTGTTAATGCAGGAGTTTTGGATTAAAAAGTAAACCTATCATAAAGGTGTGACTTATGCTCGTAGAATTTAACAAAACTCTCAAAATATACTACCTCCTTCGTTCTTTTTTATTAGTTTCCTTAGGGTTTGGCACGGGTTTTAATAATAAAGTAGTAGGTTAAGTATAGAGTGTGTAGGGTAAATGATAAAGTAGGAAAGATGGTATATTAAAAAGAGTAAAGTGATGATAAAGTATGAAAGAGAGTGTATTAAGAAGAGTAAAGTGATTGTAAAGTAGGAAAGAGAAAGTAGTTTGTAAAAAATAAGTGGGGTAAAAGTAATAAAAGTGAGGGTATTTTCACAAAAACTTTCCTTAAAGGGAAAGGAAGACAAATAAAAAAAACGTCCCAAAAAAGAAAGGACTAATAAAAAAGAAAGTTCAGACACATGAATAGGTATAGATATCTATCACACATTAAATAATATCATCAAATGCCATGTTTTCTCATACCAAATGCCATATTTTTAGATGGCAATCTTGCTGTAGAAGACAGTCACAACAGCATCATATGAATATTCACTAGAGAAACAAAGGCAGTTGATGGCGACGGGTCTCTGGAGGTGACGGCCGCCTGGAGGTGATGGCAGCGGTTCCCCTGAGGTTACCTGGAGTCATCGACGGCGGTGGATCCATCGGAGGCTTGAGACTGTATGTTTTCCGACGGCGCCCGAGTTGCCGAACGGCGGCGGTGTTGTCAGACGGCGGCGGAGTTGCCGGACGGCGGCGGCGGACTTGACCTACGGCTGCGGCGGACTACCTGGCCAGATGCTGAACAATAAATAGGAGGGTACCTTTATTTTGAACTTCTTTTTCTATTTTTTAATTGTAATAAATCTGGAACTTCATTAAGGGTATTTCAGTCAAATCATCACACTTTTACTCCTATTTACTGCCATTAAACATTCAACTCCTATTTGTGCACTTATTCAATGTTTTACTCCTATTAAGGGAGTTAACCCATTAAGCAACGGGTCCGGATTGAAGAACCGGGTGACATACCCAGCCGCAATGATACTAACGGTTTCGGGTAAGAGAAGAACCGGGTCTGTTGCTGAAGTTGCGGGAAATTGATGCTGGCGGGAGGGGAATATGCAATAGAGGGAGTATGATGGGGAGCGATGGAGATGAACGTCTAAGGATGGTCTAAGTATTTTATAACGATTCAAGTCTGGTATGAACTGGTTTGATCTGGGGTCTGAAAACAGTCCAAGTAAAAGTATCCTAAATAAGGGACTAATGAGTGAAACGTGAAAAGGATTTCATCCGGTATGTTAGGAGATTATCTGAGCGGGTTGTGAATCACGAATTTAGTTGATATATTTGACTAGCGGAATAAATTGACGAGTTTCAAAAAAATGTTTAGCAATGTTCTAAAAGGCGCTAGGCACTAGTCGGGCGCCAGCCCAGCGCCTAGCGCCTAGTCGGGGATTAATCAGAGACATGGAAATTGCATTTCTATCTATATTTTTGCATAAATATTATAAGTAATATTGTATTCTTGTGTGTATGAAATACATTATATACATATATATTTACAAACATTAATGATAGAATTAAGAATTATCACATGTACTCATACATAGTATATGATAACTAATCAATTAACTACATTATGTTATAAACATATAATGATAAAATTTGGGTATATATATACAACCATATATAGGTTTATTTTTATTTTTATTTACAACTTCATTTCTTTATATCCATGGCTAAAGTTAAAGTGTGTATAGCGTTTAGAAAATTAAAATTAAAAGGTAAAGTAATGTTCGGCGAATCTAGACGGCCTAGGCTGTAACACCGTCCCCAAATGTATTTACTTTTAGGTGAATATTGTATTGAACCTTATGAAATGATTAAGGGATATACGAAGTTGTGAATTTTTATTTTTTCTATTCGCGTGAATAGTAAATTGCGTGCGGGGCCCACACCGGGGGCGGGGGCGATATTCCCGAGACCGTATATTTTATTCAACTCGGTCGAAATAATATTTATATAGAGGTAGATAATTCATTTGGTCCAAAGAAACGACATAATGTGGACCGATTGCTCAAAAGCGGCTCAATTACCGGTATTGGCAATTTCACAGATAACAGCCCGAAATGAATTTCGGAGACTTATAAATTTAAGTGGGGAATGTATATTCATTATAAAGGGTATAATGATTAGGAACACATAATATATTTTATTTGACCCGATAAAATAAAATATATTTAAAACTGTCCAAAAAAATACAACTTTCGGGACCGATTGTACACTTCTGGACAAAAAGGGTTGACCTCCCACATGGGTGGGAGCCAACCCACGATTTTAGTCATGTGAACCAAGGGGTTGGGCGGCTGGAATGGAGAGGGAAAGGTGGGAGATGTTGGGGTTGAGAGGAAAGGCATCAAAGGTACACATGATGGACCCCCATTTCCTTACTCATTTGCAAAGAAAGACAAAAGAAACTTTCCTCCCTCCTCTCCCACTCATTGAGTTCGGCCAAGACACACCAAGAGAGGAAGAAACCTCTGCAAACCACCAT